CTGCCCCCCTTCCCTCCCTCTGCCCCAAGGAGCCCACATCCAACCAGACTAACTGCAAGGGAGACGGGGGGGGGGTCCATGGGGGGGTTAGCTGGGCTCTCCCCCTCCCCCAACATCGAGGCTCCTGGATCCCAAGGAAAGGCTGGGAGGGAGAAGAGGCGAAGGCTGCCTAGTGGCGGGAGGTGCCTTGGGCTCAGAAATGGCTCCCTCAAGACACCCCCCAAGGCACACCCTCCAGCTCAGCGGGGGGGAGGGAGGGGGGCTTCCCAGCCGGGAGACCCCTCCCCCCCCGAAAATACGGGTTTTTCTGCTTCTGCAGCCGCTTCTCATCCCAGGAAGAGAGACGGAGGAGGAAGAGTCCCAGGCGAGGAAGGAAACGCACTCGCGACCCGGGGGGGGGGGGCAGGAGGGGGGCGCATGGTGCTCAGGGGGGCGGGCCCTCCCTCTGGGACTCTTCCCAGTTCAGAGCAAGAGGGACCCCTGCCATCCTTTCCCCGTGTTTCCTGCCAGAAAACCAGTTTCTCCTGGGCTCCCAGAACCACATGGAGGCAGGAGACCCATTTCCCACCCCAGAGCAGGGCTGGACCAATCAGAGGCCTCTCCATTGGGCAGCTGGCCAATCCCCTTTCAGATTCCCCTGGGCCTCCTCCTCTCCTTCGCCCGGTTTCCTGAGGGAGTTTTCCCCCTGAGTTTCCCTCATGGCTGCTCCCCTCCCAGCTTCTCCTTCATTTCTCCTTCCTTCTCTTCCTGTTCCTCTTTCCCCCCATTGTTTGGGGGGTGCTGGCTCCCCCCCCCATGGCCAGGCAGGCCCAGGAGGAGCCCACGGAGGCGGCAGGGTCAGGAGGTGTCATTTGTCCGAAATAGGCGGGAACGCCATTTTGTTTTTCCCGGAGGCCCCAGACGCTCCCAGAGTCAGCGTTAGGAGAAGGGCTCCACCTGCAGGCCATGGGGAAAGGGGGGCTCTTCCCCAGACAAGGCTGGAGACTCCCCTGCTGGCCCCTCGGGGTCCCAGGAGCCCTTTCTGGATGGCCCTCGCTTGTTCCTCCCCCTCAGGCAGTAGTTCAACAGGAGAAGTCTCAGGGGGCCAGTGGAGCCCAGTGTGGGGAATGGGGAAATTGTTGAACTGGGGTCCTCCCAGTCCAGCCCAGACAAGAAAGAGAGGGAGCTCTCAGAAGAGGAAGCCATTGCGGAGAAGAACCGGACTTGGCTGTTCTCTGCTGAGGATCTCCTGCCTTTCTTCCAAGGCTTCCTGGGGGTGCCATGGCCAGAGGAAGAGACAGGCTGCCCCCCGAATCCCCTGCATGACCCTGGGGAGCAAGTTGAGCCTGCCTCAGTTTCCTTCCCCAAGGCTTTGGAGGAACCTTGGGGTGCGGAAGGAGGGATCCCAAATGGAGCTCAGGCTCCTGGCAAGTGGGGAAAGGAACATGATATAGCACTTTCCAGATGAGTCTCAATACAATACGATAATCTTTATTGTCATTGTCCCATACAGAACGAAATTTAAAAATTGTACATCAGACATTCAGAAACTAACAAGCCTGCTATCCCAACCTGGTTAGCCCCCTAAAAACTCTGATACCCCATAATTAAATACAATATACTCCCATAGAGACTACCTTACACTGCATTTAAAACCAAAATCGCATTTGGATAGAAACTGTTTCTCAGGCGGCTAGTCCTAGTCTTTATAACCCTGTACCTTCTTCCAGAAGGCAGAAGCTGAAAGAGATCATTTCCGGGGTGCGCACTATCCTGCACTATCTCTGCAGCTTTCTTATGTAGCACCTACAGCAAATGCCTGCAGGGCCATGAGTAGTATGCATGAAAACATCAATGCTAAATTGAGCAGATACCCGGAGGCAGTGCGGATTATTGCAGGGGACTTCACTCACACAGATGTGAGGGCAGCACTCCCAAAATCCCATCAGCACACTGAGTGTGCAATAAGGGGAGAAAATACTCTTGAGAAGGTGTATACGAACATTAGACGGGCATATGAGGCGCACCTCGGTGGTTCAGATCATGTGTCCCTGCTTCTGACACCAGTGTACACGCCCCTCAGGAAACAAGGCCAGCTACAAACATGGATGGTTACGGTGTGGCCTGAGGGAGCCTCTCAGCAGTTTCAGGACTGTTTCCAGGAGACCGATTGGAATATGTTCGACCATCAAGATCTAGAAACTTCTGCATCAACGGTGTTAGATTTGGCACAGGAAACGCACCAGGGAAAGGTATGTTAAGTTGTATCCGAATAGGAAGCCCTGGACGACGGGAGAGGTTAGGAGATTCTTGAAGGCCAGAAACTCTGCTTTTAGAACTGGGGACCGGGTACCGTATGGTATAGAAAGAGCGAACTTGAAGAGGGGTATCAGGAAAGCAAAAGCGGAGTACAGAGGAAAAATTGAGGACCATCTAAGAAATGATACTAGACAAATGTGGCAGGGAGTTCAACATCTGACTGGTTAGAAATCGAGTAATACATCAGTGGTAGAGAGTACAGCTTCCTTGGTGGGAGAGTTGAAGACCTTCTTTGCCCAATTTGAGGTGACACCAACAGTGGCTCCAACAGGGATGTCAGAGCTATTGGCCTCACTACCTACAGGAAATGTTGTCGGGGTGGAAGAAGGAGGCGAATATTAAAGGAGGTAAACACGAGGAAGGCTTTGGGCCCGGATGGAGTGGCTGGCAGGGTGATAAGAGATTGTTCGGACCAACTGGCAGGCATCTTTATGAAGATTTTTAACCAGTCTCTGGCCCAAGCCGCCGTTCCACCCTGTCTGAAATCCGCTACCATTATACCCCTGCCAAAAAAAACAAAGATAATCTGAATGACTTTTGCCCTGTGGCATTGACACCCATTATAATGAAATGTTTCGAAAAATTGGCAAGGACCCGTATCGTATATTGTATGCCAGTAGAACCTGACCCTTACCAGTTTGCGTACAAGGCAAAGAGATCCACGGAGGATGCTGTGGCAATGGCTTTACATGCTGTCCTGACTCATTTGGAGAAGAAAGGGAACTATGCGAGATTGTTATTTGTAAATTTTAGTTCTGCATTTAATACTATTCTTTCGCAGGAAGAAAACATTGTTTGTGCAGGTGGATATTAAACTTTCTGTTAAACCGTTCCCAATGGGTCAGGACGGGGTTCTCATGAATATGGGGGTGCCACAGGGGTGCATATTGAGCCCACTTTTATATATGCTCTATACAGCTGACTGTGCCCCCAAATACCCCCGTAATAAGATCATTAAGTTTGCAGATGATACAACGGTGGTTGGTTTAATCACGGCTGGAGAGGGGGAGGTGGCCTATAGGAAGGATGTTGAGCAGTTGGGGGAGGGGTGCAGGAAAAACAACTTCCTCCTTAGCTGAAAGAAAACAAGAGAGATTATTGTGGACTTTAGGAAATGTAAATTGAATATTCAGCCACTCATTATTGAGGGGAAGTGTGTGGAATGTAGCACTTGGAATCGCCTCCACGGTCCAGGGACTGATCCGCCCTGGCTTCCTCCTCGGAGGTCCCTTCAGAAGGAGAAGGGGTCCTGGGTCTCCATGGGGGAAAGCGTTCCTGAGGCCTGCGTTCGAGGCCAATGCTTTCGCCTTTCAGGCTCCAGCCCACCTTCTCTCTGGTGTTTTTGTCAGCTGTGGAGATGGGATCACATGCAGACATTCCCAAGTTTAATAAGGATCCCTTGAAAAAGCTGAGAAACCTGCAGTAGAAAGTTCTCCTTTTGCCACTGAACTTTGCCTCTGTGTGATTTATTGGGAACCAGATGCATCCGCTCCAAAGAAGCTTCTGCAGCGCTTTGGCATTGAAGACCCAGAAAAAGAGACGGAGGGGAATGTGTGGGTCACAAGGTGGGTGTCGTTGGAAAGGAGTCGCTGGGAGAGGCAGAAGGTTGTGTTGAGCAGGCGAGGGAAGAGCAGGAGGAGACAGAAAGAGCCCCAGGGAAAGACGAGGTTGGGCTGAGCTGGTGTGGGAATGAGAGGCAGAGAATGCAAAGCAACTCCGGAAACGGTGAACAAGGCAAGCTATGATCTCGTTTGAGGAAAGGGAATTGAGATGCCTGCTTCCCCATCCCCAGTGGATTAAAATGTCCAAAGATTAGGGAAAGAAGAAAGAAGAGGAAGCAGGATTGGATGAACATCATAAGAGTCCATAATTTTCCATTGTGACTTGGCTGAGATTCGTTGGAACAGTTTTTCAAAGGCTTTATAGAAACTGGACCTAGAAACTGGAGAAATACTAATTTGGATTATTAGACTGTCTGAGTTGATTAAGATTTGAAAGCTGGGCTAGGGAGGGAAATGAAGGGAAAGTGTCATCTTGGTGAAGAGGATAAGAAGAAGAGTTTGGATTTGATTTCCTGCTTTATCACTACCCGAAAGAGTCTCAAAGCGGCTATCAATCTCCTTTCCCTTCCTCCCCCACAACAAACACTCTGTGAGGTGAGTGGGGCTGAGAGACTTCAGAGAAGTGTGACTAGCCCAAGGTCACCCAGCAGCTGCATGTGGAGGAACAGAGACGAGCACCCGGTTCCCCAGATTACGAGTCCACTGCTCTTAACCACTACCCCACACTGGCTCTCAAGGCAGCCCTGTTTAGGGAAGCTTTTAATATTTAATATTTGATGGATTACTGTATTTTAATATTTTGTTGGAAGCTGCCCAGAGTGACTGGGGAAACCCAGCCAGATGGGAAGGGTATCAATAAATCATCATCATCTACTTTTTTGTATTTTTTATATTTTACATTAAGATTCCTTTATTTTTAATTTAGGAGGACACACACAGGAAGAGGACAGTTGGAGGTGCGAGGGACCTGCAAGGAACGCAGGGAAGGATCTCTCAGGGTGGGATACGGGGAGAAGGGGGGGTCACGCAGGGGAGAAGTGGGGGGAGCCTGCCTTTCTATGGGTTGACGAATGATATGATATATATGATACAAATGGCATAAACAGTATTTTTAGTTTATATCCCCCCCTTTTCTCTTTTCTATACAATTGTATTTTGTAAGGTTTGTTTAATATTTTTTGTTTTATTTCTCTTTTTTGGTTTCCCCTCTGTATGAATTCTTCGATGGGAAGTGAGACTGGAGTTATTAGTGAAGCTCTTCCCACATTCCAAGCAGTGATAGGGTTTCTCCCCTGTATGAATTCTGTGATGGGAAGTGAGACTGGAGCTAAAAGTGAAGCTCTTTCCACATTCAAAGCAGTGATAGGGTTTCTCCCCTGTATGAATTCTTTGATGCAAAGTGAGACTGGTCTTCCAACTGAAGCTCTTTCCGCATTCGAAGCACTGATAGGGTTTCTCCCCTGTATGAGTTATTTGATGCAAAGTGACCTTCATCCGCTCCCGGAAGTTCTTCCCGCATTCAAAGCACTGAAAGGGTTTCTCTCCTGTATGAATTCTTTGATGGAAATTGAGATGGGAGCTCTGACTGAAGCTCTTTCCACATTCCAGGCACTGATAGGGTTTCTCCCCTGTATGAATTCTTTGATGCAAAGTGAGATGGGAGCTCCTTCTGAAGCTCTTTCCACATTCCAAGCACTGATAGGGTTTCTCCCCTTTATGAGTTTTTTGATGGGAAGTGAGATTCACCATCTGACTGAAGCTCTTTCCACATTCCAAGCAGTGATAGGGTTTCTGCCGTCTATGAATTCTTTGATGGAAAGTGAGATGGGAGCTCTGACTGAAGCTCTTTCCACATTCCAAGCACTGATAGGGTTTCTCCCCTGTATGGATTCTTCTATGCAAAGCAAGATAACCTTTCTGACGAAAGCTCTTTCCACATTCCAAGCATTGATAGGGTTTCTCCCCTGTATGAATTCTTCGATGGGAAGTGAGACTGTACTTGAGACTGAAGCTCCTTCCACATTCCAAGCACTGATAGGGTTTCTCCCCTGTATGAATTCTTCGATGGGAAGTGAGACTGTACTTGAGACTGAAGCTCCTTCCACATTCCAAGCACTGATAGGGTTTCTCCCCTGTATGAATTCTGTGATGGGAAGTGAGATGGGAGCTATCAGTGAAGCTCCTTCCACATTCAAAGCACTGATAGGGTTTCTCCCCTGTATGACTTCTTTGATGCAAAGTGAGCTTACCCACTTGCCCAAAGCTCTTCCCGCATTCGAAGCACTGATAGGGTTTTTCTCCAGTATGAATTCTTTGATGGGAAGTGAGAGTATAACTGTGCTTGAAGCTCTTCCCACATTCCAAGCACTTATAGGGTTTTTCTCCTGTATGAATTCGTTGATGCAAAGTGAGATTCCGGCGGTTACCGAAGCTCTTTCCACATTCTCTGCACTGATACAATTTCTCCCTACTCTTTGTTCTTACGTGTGAAGTGAGGCTATCCCTCTGAACGAAACTCTTTCTTTGATGGGAGGTGTCCTGGGAGCTCTGACCGATGTTCTCTCCACATTCTGAATACTTATATGACTTCTCCGCTATGTGCATTTTGTTGCGTTCCCCCTTGTTCTTCCCTTCTAATTCCTCACCATCTGCAATGAAGAGAGCAGCGAATTAGAGCCTCAGGAAGAAATGGAGCTTCAGATCATTGAACCAAGTTAATGAATGCCTGTGATAGAGGAAGAACTAAAAATAGTTAGATGTGGGGCCTTTCTATAGTTTTCACTACCTTGGTTGGCTGGTATTTACTGACATATTGCTTGGCTTTTATCTGGAATGGATTTTGTTCTTGCTCAATCCTGGAATCCACTCCGTCTCCAAGGTCAGTCATCTCTTTGGTCAATCAAATGCAAACAGAAGCAAAAACAGCAAGACTGACAGAATTTACATCAACTTCCCTTAAAAACTCTGAAGCCGGCATTTAAGAAGGCCTGGGTGGTTCAGACAAGCCTGGTCATTGTTTTAAAAGGCATGACTAGATGCAGAACATTCACAGAGGAAACAGTTGATATCCCTCCATTCTGGGTTCACGGTGGGGGATGTTAGAATCCCAGATGCTGTTGGTCTCCAGCCAAAGAGTTGAAGTTCATCACATACAGGTATGTATGGAACGTCCACGTCTCGTCTGTGAAACAAACAGCAACACCTTCACCTGAACACTCCCCATCAGCTGCTGCCTCAATCTGGTTGGTCTAAATTTAAATTTATTCGTAAAGCACTTTCTTCACTTTGAACCCCCCTCCCATTTCCATGAGGAGACTGTATTGTTTCGTTAGCAACAGAAGAGGAAAAGTGACTATAACTCAGTTCAAACCAATTCATGAACCCAGATATATATAGATATATAGCTATTCCTGCAAATTTATTCTGCTATTTCTGATATGCAAATGGCACGTGAAGACTTAGTCTACATATTTGTATCATTTATTAGTCCTATGATCCTTGTTTTTAAAAGCAAATAAAAAGTTTTTCCAAAAAGAAAAAGACAACACACAGAGGCCCCATCTGCATTCAAACTGCAAAGCAGGATGAGTGAGTTGTCTGACATTGGCAGGGCATCCAGATCACAGAACTGGTTTTAGACCTTCTGAGCTGTGGTGGCCGGGGAGCTGTGATCTATTCCTAGCTCAAATTGCCTGCAGATGACAAAAGAAGCAGGCAGGCAGGAAGGCAGGCAGGTGGGGGAGGCAGAAAAGGTGCTGCCCTTCTCCATCTCCATCTGCCTGCCTGCCTCCCCCCACCCCCTAGCTGAACAAGCCCCAATTCCTCTCTGGCTCCATCCCTCCACGTCCCCATCTCCACTCCCCTGGGACTCACCAGATCTCTCGGAGGTCCCTGGGAGGGAGTGCTCAGAGGTTGAGAGGAGGGATGTAGGAGACAGCCGGACCAGGTCAACCGTCCATCTTCCCCCTTCCATCCTTGCTAGGTTTGCAGGATCCGTCTCTTTCATCCTTCCTGAGGAGTCAAGGAACCAAAACAAGCTGCAGGGTCCTGGGAGAGAGGAAAAAGCAAAGGGAGGCTCAGAGGCCCTGCAGGGATTTTCTGGCTGGAGGGGAAGCCTCCCAATATGTTGGGGGCCCCATCCTCAGCAAAATCCCTGCTTTATCTCATTTCTGGCCAGAGAGCTCCCCTCTTCCACCCTCCATCCATCCATGTACCCATCTCCCCTCCCCTGGATCTCACCCGATTTCTCGGAGGTCCCTGGGAGGGAAGGCTCAGGAGTTGTGGGGAGGGATGCAGGAGACAACCTGACCAGGTCAACCGTCCATCTTCCCCCTTCCATCCTTGCTAGGTTTGCAGGATCCGTCTCTTTCATCCTTCCTGAGGAGTCAAGGAGCCAAAAGAAGCTGCAGGGTCCTGGGAGAGAGGAAGAAGCAAAGGGAGGCTCAGAGGCCCTGCAGGGATTTTCTGGCTGGAGGGGAAGCCTCCCAGTATGTTGGGGGCCCCATCCTCAGCAAAATCCCTGCTTTATCTCATTTCTGGCCAGAGAACTTTCCCTCTTCACCCTCCATCCATCCATGTTCCCATCTCCCCTCCCCTAGGACTCACCAGATCTCTCAGAGGTTTCTGGGAAGGAGCGCACAGAAGTTGTGGGGAGGGATGCAGGAGACAACCTGACCAGGTCAACCGTCCATCTTCCCCCTTCCATCCTCACTAGGTTTGCAGAATCCGTCCCTTTTATCCTTCCTGAGGAGTCAAGTAGTCAAAACGAGCTGCAGGGTCCTGGGAGAGAGGAAGAAGGAAAGGGCGCCTCAGAGGCCATGCAGGGATTCTCCTGTCCCTGGAGAAGCACAAATGGGGCGGCCCCTCCCCAACAGAAGCCCCATTTCTATACCTCTCCAGTGGTTCCAATAAATCAGGTAGGCTACTTGTGTGGCAATTAAAGACAAAACAAAAGGAGAGAATAATAGAAAAATGAAAAATAAGATCCTAAAGAAATATGCAAAGAAAAATTAAATTACTATAGGAAATTTTACAATGAAGAAGAAGACCAAGAGAAAATGGAATGATTCATAGCACAAAATAGACTCCCGACAATAGCAGATTGTAAAATAGAACAACTAAATGTACCAACCGTGATGATAGAGGTGCAGCAATCAATCTCAAAAGCAAAGATAGGAAAGTCCCCAGGTACGGATGGATTATCGGTGGCATTTCATAAGAAGTTAGAAGATATATTATCAGAACCAATGAAACAGTACTGGACCAAATTTTAAAGGAAGGAGGATTACCAAAATCATGGGAAGAAGCATTTATCACACTGATACCCAAACAAGGAGCAAATCCAACACTAATCAAAAATTATAGACCTATATCATTGTTCAATAATGATTATAAAATATTTGCCAACATCCTAGCCAACAGATTAAAATAAAGTATCGAATGAAATAATACACAGAGATCAGGCTGGCTTCTTACCAGGCAGACACATGCACAATAAAATGAGAAACATAATTGATATTTTAGAATATTTAGAAGCAAGATCAGATAAAAAAGCCATTTTGATGCTGATAGACACAGAAAAGGTCTTTGACAACATCTCTTGGAGCTCCATGAAAAAACTACAGAAAAAACAGGACTTGGAGAAAATATTATTAGTGGGTTTGAGGCAATATATTGAAATCAGAGAGCCAAATTGATACTAAATCGTGAAATAAGAGAAGTAAAGTAAGTAAGGGGACCAGGCAAGGCTGCCCCCTTTCGCCTCTACTTTTTATTACGGTACTAGAATTCTTAGCAATGACAACAAGGAGTGACCAAGGCATAAAAGGTCTAACAATGGGGAAGAAGTCGCACAAGATGAAGGCCTTTGCAGACAATTTAATTCAAACTACTGAAAATCTGGAGGAAAGCATACCAGAAATAAGAGGGAAAATCCTTAATTTGGAAGTGGCAGGATTTAAATTAAATAAAAATAAGACTAGTATGCTAGCAAAAAATATGTCAACACAGGAAAAAGAAGAACTAAAGAAAATATCAGGATTGGAAACAGTAAATAAAACTAAGTATTTGGGAATCTGGCTGACAAATGAAAACACCAATCTATTTAAAGACAATTATATTAAAACATGGAAAGAAATCAATTTTGAATCATATAATAAGAAAATTGATATATAGAGTATGGGAAAAACATAAAGTGGTGTTAGAACCTAAACCCCCCGGTAGATTTCACCTCAGGAAGCAATAACTGGGGGAAAGAAAAATATGGAATTGAATTGGGCCACTTTCACTGCCTTGTTGTGACGAAGGGGCTTGAATAACTCAGAGACGCTATGAGCTAAGCCGTACAGGGCCACCCAAGATGGACAGGATATAGTGGAGAGTTTAGACCAAACGTGA